TGCAAGGGTAGGTGATAAATGTGTTGAATTTGCAGTCAGACCTTCACTGAAAAAAATCCCTCATTTGATATCATATTAAAATACTGGAACATTTTGATATTTCCTCCTTTTTAGGCAAGAAGGGCATGGTGACCAGGGTCTTCAAACTTGACAAGTTTAAGATTTGTGGACTTCAACTCCCAGAATTCCTCCTCCAGTCATGTTAGGGCAGGAATTCTGGGAGTTGAAGTCCACAAGTCTCAAACTTGTCAAGTTTGAAGACCCTTGCATTAGACTCTAGCTTGACCTCTAGAGATTTAGAGGTTATTTTAGAATATAGACTGCATTTTCCCAGACTCACAAATGATATAGCAGTTTATTTTTCTTTTGTCATCAGCCCCAAGAAAATTACTAGATCTTTAGGCTTATATCATGTGAGAGGCTAGATCAGGATCAACATATTTATTCCTTTATTTTATATCCTGCCTTTTTCCCAAGGATTCAAGGCGCTATATATAACATCCCATTGTTCAGTTTTCCCCACAACCCTGTGAGGTAGATTAAGCTGTGTTACAATCATTCAGTGAGATTTCAATGATACACCCTTTAAAAGAAGAAAGAGATAAAAAAACCACAATCTGTTGGAGTGCCCCATAATCCAACATTTGAATGTGATTAGTTGGAAATGGTAGTCTATTTTACCATGGGCTCCAGTTTAGGCTGATGGATTATATAGTCAATTTTTCCTCAGTTATATCACAGTAATGTATCACAGTAATGGACTGTCTTTAAAGAACCCTGTAAACCTGTACTGATCCAGAATGTAGAAGCAAGAATGTTAATGGATATATATCCAAACATTGATATTATATTAATATTCCCTTCTGTATTTATTGCAAATTTGCTTCTTGGCATACATTAGTATTACAAGTAGTCCTCAATTTACAACCACAGTTGACCTAGAATTTTTGTGGTAAGTCATTGTGATCATAAATTGAGTCACCATATTACTAGACTCAATTTTATGTCTACTTATGGCCATTAAGTGAGTCATTGTGGTTGTTAAGCAAATCACATGATCATTAGTCCAAATCCAGCTTATCCAATAGGCAATTTTTGCCAGAAAGTGGCAAAAAAATCTGCAAAACGTGAACATGTGACTGTGGAATTCTCCAACTGGCCATAAATGTGAACTGATTGCCAAACACCTGAATACAATCACGAGACTTCAGTGTTGGTCCAAGAGTCTTCACTTCAAGGATGGCCATAAGTAGCTTTTTTCAAATACATTATAATTTTGAAAGGTCTTAAGCAACTGTTATAAATTGAGGACTACTCTATAAAGCTAGATAGCTTGGATTCTAGAAACCCAAAGAAGCACCATACCTTATAATAGCCTGGGGATAGTGTATGAATATACTTTTAGTAGTAAAGAAGAATGTGTACAAGAACACCATCCTTGTTTCTTCCCAATTTCTAAAAGTTCGGAAAGAAGCTAGCAGAAAGCTGTTCTTGCAATTGCCTGAATGCAATTGTTGTTCTAATTCAGAAACAGTCCTGAATAGATTTAAAGAAGATTGTTTCCTATACCTCAACTAAATAATAATAAGATACAGGTGTTCAGTGACATCATTGATAATGTCTTTCAGATCTGTGGAATGTATTCTTTGTATTGTGCTGGGTTTTCAATGGTTTAAAATTATACCTAGTTACATATTTTTTCTTTAATACTTGCTTTATTATTTTTTCAGTTTTAGAAATACAAGATGTTTTGATAAAGCATGGACTGTTCAAAGTATTTTTTTTACAAGGGATTAATCTTGCATTGTTGAAACACACATTTTATGTCTCAAGGGCAATGATCAAAAATAGTAAACAGTGTAATTTTGAAATTTCCAGATGCCTTTTTTAAGCATAAGCACAAAATAGCTGCTAGACGCACATAAACTATATTTGCATTATCATTTTGTTGGGTTTTTGCCTTTATTATGTCCTGTTTGTGGATTGATGAAGATCAGACTGCTGAAATGTACAGTTTTGTCTTTTTCAGACAGGTTATAGGCAATGCAGATTAGATTATTAGATTTTGGATAATATAATTTGGGTATCCCCACTCCTCTGCTTATTGTAGTTGTTCTCATTGCTATCTATTCCCATGACTTTTTGTTTTAGCATAAGCTGCATCACCTTTCAAAAGAAAAAAACATGTACAACTTATTTTATCTTCTTGTTCTGGTGCAAACAGGCCCTCTCATAAAGGCTAAGTAGCTTCAGGAGTTGGAAATGGCATTCCTAGTTGATAAATAACCCTCAGTAGATACTAGTGACCTGATTGGCTTACTTTGCCCAAGACCGATGAAATCGTCTAAATGCAATTTTGTATTTTCAAATTGTTCGGCTTTAGTTTTCATGTGTTCAGAGTTCTGTGACTCTTTAAGAGGATATAAATTAATAAAATAGACTTAAATGCAATGACCAAAGGTAATCTTATCTGCTAGAAAACGTTCCTAACACTGAGATTAGGGAGATTCAATTTGAAATTGTCCATGGAAATTTATGTGTGACCTTAGGTTGGCCCTTATCCCTCAGTCTTGCCTGAGTTGTTATTAAAATGGAAAGAGTCACATCCAAGTGTAGGAATAAGAAGCTTGATCTAGGGATAGTGGATTCACTTCTGCTGAGGCAATCAGTGGGTGAAACTAAAAGAAAGATGCATCCTCTGTGCCATTATGTCCTTTTATATTCAGGAGAAGATAGCTGAGGAGAAAAGCTGGTTGAAAATAGATTAATTTCTGAAATTATTCATGCTATTTTCTTATTGAGAAAAGGCTTTGAATCAGCAGGAAGGAGAAGAACAGTCTTTGTCTAAGAGCTTGTAAACCAAGCAGGAAAATCTAGCAAGCCTAAGGTTTCCAGTCGTTGTCCGAGAAGAGAGGCAGGATATAAATTCCAATTTAAGAAAAAGGAAGCAAGGTCAAATTAATATTTTTTTTAAAAAAGATTATCTCCTTTTTAGCAATATAGAACCTCGGTTGCTCTGGGAAAGAGTGGAAAAACTGGTGCCACGACCAGGAAGTGGAAGTTCTTCTGGATCAAGCAATTCGAGTTCACAGCCTGGTTCCCATCCTGGCTCCCAGAGTGGATCTGGAGAAAGATTCCGGATGAGATGTAAGGGGAAAAAACATTATTCTCACAAAGGTTCATTGGATCCAGAGAGAGATTTTGAATAAGATATAAGCAAAAACTGTTTCAAGTGAAGAATAGCCATATGCTACATGTAATCTTTCAAAACAATATCATCTATCTATCTATCTATCTATCTATCTATCTATCTATCTATCTATCTCTAGCCATCTCTCTCTCTTTCTCTAGCCATCTCTCTCTCTCTCTCTCTCTCTCTCTCCCCCCAAAATGAAGTTTTTACAACCTATGATAGTCTGAACAGTTGCAGTAAGAGCAAGGATAGCACACTTTTCCTATATGATGTTGAGATTAAACTGGCACGTACATTCAACATACATGCTTACATGCATTTTTCACACACATACAAACACACATACACAATCACTTTTCTGTTTCCTAGTCATCTGAAGTTATAAGAGCTATGTATGTAGGATAACAAGCAGAATTTTAATCTGAGAAGAATACCTTGGAATATGTTGATAAAGAAATGTGAAGGTAGTCTTCAGTTAACCATTCTTTCAACAACCATTGGATGTTATGATGTCACTCAATGAGCAAACTTGGGATTCATTCTTGAAGTTACAACTATCACAATATCCCTCTGATCATGTGATTGTGCTTTACAACTTATAATTATGACAGTCACAATGTCCTGTGGTCATATGTTTGCCATTTGGAACCTTTACTGCCAACTTCCAACAAGCAAAGGAGACTGGTAGGAAGTGTAAATGATGATCAGCTAATGACCATGTGGGATTCTCCTAAGAATGACAAGTAGAACTACCAGAACTGCCATTGTAAGTTGACATACCAACATAACATCACACCACATTCCTTGGTAATGAAGTTCTTGGTCTGAATTATTGTTAACCAAGTACTACCTGCGTTATTCTCATATGATCTATTATCAATATGGAATCTATTAATCAACATTTTTATAACTGTTTTCTGTTTTAAATGTTTCAGAAACATTTTCTTATTTATTTTGGATCTTCCTAACAGTGGCTTTGTTTTCTTTTTTGCAATGCTAGCAAAACTGTCTGATTGTTTGCTGCTGGATGTTCCCATATATTCTCTAAATTAATTTTTTTTAAAAATGTGTTACTTGATTACTTAGCATCATCAAAATCTGAAGGTTCCCCTTCACAACGTAATGAAACTGCAGCCAAAAAGAGTGAAGAGAAGAAAGAAGTCTTGAGACCCTGCAAACCTGCGGTAAGGCTCTTTCTGTTGCTTGTTAACTTTATATACAGTATATGGTCTATATCTTTACATAGAAGACATTGATAGTTGTTTGAATTGGATGACAAGGAAATGAATGAATCAGGTGTGATGTTTATTTATTTTTTATTAGCATTGGTCATCTGCAATTAACAAAAGCAGTTATTTTTATACCTAGCTTTCTTATTTTATAATATTTACAATAACTCTTTGAAGCAATTAATCTAAGCAAGCTGAATTTAAAACAGCAAATAATATCTAAGTGATTTTAGAATTCTTGAAAACTTTGTGACAGCCACTCCAAATGGGAAAGCTTTAGGCACAATTATAGAATCTTTTAATGACTGAGGCCTTCACTAACATGGATCCAAGAAACAGCCTCCATAGACAGTGATAGTGCAAAATGGATATGGCACAGAGATGGATAGAGTTTGAGTGTTATTCCCACTCACCTTCTTGAAGGGATTTTTGTTTTGGTTTGGTTTGCTTTCACAACTGTGCTAAACTTAGTTAAGGAATTATGCTATTATTTTTATAGGACATTTAAGACCTAGACGTCCAGTCATTCTTAACTCATTAGAGAAAACAATGGGTCTTACCTATCCACAATGCTACTCACTCAGGAAAACATAGTTTTCAATTTGTAAGCATTTTTTCCTGAAAGCCCTACTAAGTTGCCTTCACCTCTCTTGCCCAGTCAACGCTAGCACCCTTCCATTCAACAGAGATGACGTACTGAAAGGCCAATCTTTACAGATAGTAAAAGGACAGCCATTTCTTCTTTCTCCTAGCTGAACTTGGTCCAGCAGTAAAAGGATGTTGCTTTTCATTTCTATAATTAAATCTGTACTCATAGTTTCCCACAATTATAGTTTTCCCATACATTAAAATTAGCTTGTTTATTTATGCATTAATAGAAAGCTTTTCTGAAGATCAGCAGGGAATCTAATTTGAACCTAATTTGATTCAAATATTCAAAAATTAATTTGTTTTCTTAAATCTCACATCTGCCTTTTTCTTCCCAATGATATCATTTTGACTTTTTGTGGAAGGAATCCATTTGTCTGATTCAGCACAGATGTTTTTGGTTTTTAATATTACTATTTCTTACAAAATATAAAGGAAAATGGGGAAAAACAAGCTTCTACTTTCCATTATCCTGATTTTTATTTATAATCCCATGTCACACTCTTATTTCATGCTCTACTTTCTTATTCCTTTATTTAAAATTTTAAGTAAGCCACTGCTGTAATTTTAGTATTTTTAAGAGCCAAGATAATTGGATTAGTTCCTGAATTAATGGTGTATTTTAGTTATGTATTTCATTCCTTCATTTAAATGTTTAAGTAATTCAATGTTGTAATTTTAGTATTGTGAACCTCCAAGATAAGTGCTTGTAGTAATTTTGTATTTTACCTTTCTTTCTCAAACCATGCACCATATCTTGGTCCAATGTTGATTTGCTTATTTTGACATGTGACTGATCTTCAGGGAGAAGTGGTAAGTAGAGTTAATTTATGGAATAACTAACCTTAACATGCCTTAATTTAAATTTATAAAACTTCCCATCCTCTTCTTCCACATGTGGCCATTTGAAACTGCCAAAAGAAATCTATGGAAACTCAGGGACTATTGTTACCAAAACAGGGCAGAATATAGCAGATACTAGGAGGAAAGGGATTATGTGATAAAGCTAAATTAAGAAAATTTATAGAAAAAGAAATCCATTCAATTACACCCATGTACTGTCTCAGGAGATGTTAAATTTCAAATCCTGCTGTGAAGTTTATATGATGTGAGTTTTGCTTTATTTAATTCTATTAGAATTAAAGCAGTAAAACATATACCAGTTTATGAGTATTTCCTAAAATAATTTATCAAATGTAGAATAAAAGTATCAGTTAATTAATGGGATTCAGTTCTTAGAAAAAAAATGTTGAAACAGGCAATGCTCATCATTGATTTTGCAACATTATTATGATATGCTTTTTCTAGGATTTAACTGCTTTAGCAAAGGAATTGCGAGCAGTGGAGGATGTACGACCACCTCACAAAGTAACAGATTATTCATCATCAAGTGAAGAATCAGGGACCACAGATGAGGAGGATGATGACATGGAGCAAGAAGGCGTTGATGAATCTACTTCTGGGCCTGAAGACGTCAGAGCAATGTTAGTTGCATTTTTCCTATTTCCTTTATTAAATATAATCTTTGCAATTTATAGGGTTGCCATTTTTAGCATATACTTCTAAAAAATAAACTTTTAAAAAAATGTAAAACAAACTGAGAAAAATAAAACGATGCTAACAATAACAATTTATTTAACTGCATAATCTTTTAAAGGACAGGCCTTTCACAGATACGTAATAAGTAATTCTTTAGAAAGTTCACAGTTGCAGTTATTTTAATATTATAGTGAATCTTGGATATTGAAGCACCAATGATGAAATGTCGTTGCCAAACAGATCCACTTTGAACCTCAGCAATGGAGAAACAGAATCGGTGAAAACAATGATTGTGCATGATGATGTAGAAAGTGAACCTGCTATGACACCTTCCAAAGAGGGCACTTTAATTGTCCGACAGGTAATACATCTTTCAGTATGCAATTTGTTCCTTTTCATCAATTCATTCATTCTCTCATTTATCTTTTCCCACTTTAAAATTGGTTAGAGACCCAGATGGTAGCCATAGAATAAATAGAGCATGTAAAGAGAATACTAGTTTTCACCCATTGTTTCCACTGTGTGTTGCATGCATACATTGGAGTGACTGTTGTCTGATTCTACAGTGTTTATTTTAATCTTTTCTAATGTGGAATAAAAAAAACTGTAGATGTCATAGCAGGAACCTGGTATAAAGCCAGTTGCATTTGTATCACTTCTAATGACATCTTAAGAGAAGGTAAAAAAAAATCAAGTGGTGAGAGAGTCCCAAGACAGTAAAATAAGGATCATCTAGTTCATTTTAAATCACTTAGTTACACCACACTATCCCACTAAAGAGTTCAGCCAGCTTACACAAGACATTTCCTATCTTGGCAGGTTTCAAGACCAAGGCAGCTTATCTTTAGGAGTAGAAATGTTGAGCCATAGTTTTGATGTCATGAGAGGTTATGTAAGAAACGGTTGAGCAAATGCATCTGTTGCTTTGAACTTCCTGGTATATTAGGTTAGGTACATCAAAGGGCATGAACTTTACTAGTCACATTTCTTATTTTTCAAGTTAATATCATTTTTGTAATTGACCCCGCATATTTATAAGGCATGAGTATGGTTTAAACAGCTAAATTAGGATATTCACCAGAATGATAATTGAATGGAAGCATGGTAGCAAGAAAAGTCACAAGGAGAATGCACACAGGTGCCATCATAGATGTGATTTATAGAAACTTAAATTTGCCAGTAAAGAAATTGGCTTTGCAAGGGGAAAAAATGAATATGGTAAGCCCCACTCCACAGTGAAGGCTTGTTTGATTAATGCATTGGTTGAAACATTTAAATAGATCATTTTGCTAGGGGCATAGACTTGTACACAGCACTTGAGCAAGACAAGTGTGCCTGTTTTTTCTACAGAGTACAGTTGACACAAAGCGAGCCAGCCATCATGAGAGCAATGGCTTTGCCGGTCGTATTCACCTCTTGCCAGATCTCTTACAGCAAAGCCATTCCTCCTCCACTTCCTCCACCTCCTCCTCCCCATCCTCCAGCCAGCCGACACCCACCATGTCCCCACAGACACCCCAGGACAAGCTAACTACTAATGAGGTATGTCTTGCACCACAGCTGGCTGCTTTCACAGGGTTATAAATGTATTTCCTAATAGCCAGTATCCAGAGGATTTCCAACTAGTGTCCCTTCTGCTACTCTTCTTCCTGTCACTGTCCCTTCACTCCCCCAAAGTAACACATTTCAGCTCTTATGTACCAACCCTCTGAACTCCAGAATTTTTACCCCAAATTTGCCAGTTGACTACTATTTTGTTTTGCTTTTTACACGTGATTAATTGCATGGCTTTTGTATCACCTAAACCAAGTATTTTTATCAGTATTTATTTCAAAGCTATTTTGGGAAGAGTGTCTAAAAGTAATCCTAATGTGATTGGCTTTTTCAAGTAACAACGCTGCCTTATTTAGCACAGTGTTGGAGAAATATACACATAAAGAATCCTTGCTTTGGAAAAGGATGCAAAGGAAGTTTTCTCCATCTAACCATCAATGGAACCTTTAGGGAAACTATTCATTTCTTTTTATGAATTATTAAATTTGTTTTATTTAGAATGTTAGTTAAAATGAGCTGTCTTTTGTTTTTAATATATGGTTCTGCTTTGACAGGAGCCTATAAAATAGGAGACTATTTTCTCAGAATACAAATACCTTTTCAGTTTGTAGGCTATTAAGAGATTTAAAATGTCATCTGCTGGCAATAAAGAAGATACGTTAACTTACTTATGTATTTAGAATTCTTCTAAATACATAAGATGTGCAAGTTTTAGCATAGGAGCAGTTTCATTTCGTCCTGTAGGCTAAAATCTTACTCACACTGAGTCTGTTTTGAAATTGCTTACTGCATGGAAGTTAAATACCCCTGTTTTCAACCACTTAAAACAGTGGCCCCAACCTTTGCATCCTGGCAGATTGGTGAGGGGGGGAGGGGAACCAGGCCACGTGAGCGGCAGACAGGTGTGCATGTGTGCATTTGCAGATCAACTTGTGCAAATGTTGGACCAAAGCGTGCAGATCAACCTGCACAAGTTGAGCTGCGTACCTGTATGCATGTATGCTGCCTCACTACTCGCGCACACATGCTCACACAGCCTGGTTCCAGATAGACCATGGCCTGATAGTGGGTCATAGCCCGAGGGTTGGAGACCTGTGACTTAAAGCTCTTTTTCAAATTTTCACTTTGAGAAGCAAAGCATAATAGGCTAATCCTTATAAAATCACCAAAAGATTTAAGACAGTTTAAATGGTATACAAGTAGTCGAAGAATGGCTAAAACTGTAATGGCAGTTCATGTTTAAGTAATGAGAAAAGGTAGTCTGCAACTAATTGGGTAATTTTCTGGTAAAAGTGTCTACTATTTAAATTCTAAGGCAAATCTTTAATTGCAGTTTGAGGAGATGGTTCTGAACTAAGTTTTGATATGAGATTAGTATTAGTTGTATAAGACTAAGTTAGTCATAAGAGACTTGCAAGGGTAGGTGATAAATGTGTTG